TTTAACTTTATAATGCTATAACTTATTGAAAAGTTTATGGATCCACACAATTTTTTTATGAGAAATAATATTTTTTAATAAACCCTTTTTCATTCGACATACTTTATCTTAATCGAGATATTAATAAGGAACCAGCAGATCAAGTAGCTTTTGGAATAAAACACTAATTTTTTTAAAATTAAACACTATCTAAAGATTTGCATCGAAGCGTTTATTTTTGATAGTGATTTTAATCACTATCAGATATCATTATACTTGATCCAACTATGCCACGTCACCACTGTGCCGCGACCCCCCTGTGCTGGGTTTTTATTTTCAGAAGTTATTAAAATCCTGCCATGTAAGGTGGTCCTTATTAACAGAACATAAAAAAAATATATAAATAATTTTAATGTAGGATCCCCACTTTTTTCATTATTATAAATAAGTAATTTTGGACAAATTTAGTCACGACCTATCTGTGTCCCAAAGGGTTTAAAAAATAGTCAAAGAGACTAATTTTATCTTTTTATTAATTATAATGTATCTTTGAATATAGAGGTCTAAACAAAACTAATTAGTACCATTGAAAATAAAAGTTTATTTCAACATTTTTTTCAATTTCTCTAAATGTATTAGTTATAAAACATCATTGACACATTTTTTTTCTCGTCAAATTGAGCCTTTAAATGAAAACCCATTTTTATTTTCAATATTTTAAATACTCAAGAATTGTTATTAAATTATTCTATAATTATTTCCAAGATTTTCCTCGTTAGCGACTTTAATTTAAACATCTCAAACAATGAATTTTTTGTTTCTCAACTTTTGACAATTTTCTAAAATTGAAATTGTGAAATAATTTTTTCAATCATTAAAAGTATAACAATTTTGTATAATTCTCCTAATATGTTCATACATCGTTGATCAAACAGTTAACAGAACGTTATTCGTAATTTTAAAAAATGACACATAAGTATTGAAATGTTGATTACTTTTGCTCTTAGTTGTTTATTATATTTACAACGAATTTATTATTAGTTAACATGATATCATCGTTTTTGTGACAACTAAATAAAAACAAAAATATTACTTATAAATTAATGTAATTTATAGTATACAATATTAATTTATTGTATAGTATGAGAAACTGATGATGATGCTGTTATCAAAAAATATGGTTTATAAAATAATAAATCTTTGAATTGTCCTAAAAAATTAAGATCCGTGCTATTTCTGTTTAGCAATAGCAAAATTTCAAATTTAAGTTATTTGTACACTTCTCCAATAATTTGTAGTTATAGGGACGTAGCCTCTCTAACAGATTTACCCATTTAAAAAAAGAACAAAATAGAAATTTTTTGTTAAAGAATAAACATAAAAACCTATTTTACCTATTAATTAAATTTCTAACTAGTCATTTTCGGTTAGGTCTCAGTCCCTGGTATATTTGAAAACATTTTCCATAAATAAACTTCGTCTTGATAATTTTTGTAGGTGTTAAGTATTGAGAATTAAATAAACAATTTTTTTTTTTTTAATTTAATTGTTTAAAACTTAAAGAAATTTCCATATTTTTAAAATAAATAGTTCTAAGATAAATACATTAATGTGATAATAGAAAATATGACATTTTAACAACCTAACAACAAGTTTTCTCAATTTAACTTTAAGAATATTTTGGTCATAATAGAAATTGTACTTAGGCTACACATAATTATTTCGTGGGAAATGAGAAAAGTTTCAGCAACAGTATTATACTAATACCAATAACAAAACATACTTATACTCTTATTGTATTAGACTTGTAATAATTGTATTATATTATACTATAATTGATTATTTCAATATAAATATTTCGTAAGAAATTTAACTATGTTTATTATATGTATGAATTAATACATTTAATTCATACAATATAAAAAATACAAATGTGGTTAATATAAGTAATTTGAAGAATGCGTATATTCTAAAAATAATCAGTTCAAATATTTTATTTTTGATCACATAATTGCAATTATGGTATTCCAACTTTATTGTAAAACCCAGAAATAATTAAATGTAGGCTATAGATGGTAAAAGTATAAAGTTCCTCAATAAATAGGTTATGGAGGTTTATAGATAACAATAAAAGCTTTGACATATATGAATTTTCAAAATTGGTTATCGACCCAAGTTTATTTTTTATTTAGATAGGTATATTCAATACTTTGTACTTTCAATACGT